CTCACACTGGTCAGAAGGCCATCATCAAAAAATCTACAAACAATAAATGCTGGAGAGGGTGTGGAGGAAAGGGAACACTCTTGCACTGTTGGTGGGAATGTAAATTGGTTCAGCTACTATGGAGAACAGTATGGAGGTTCCTTCAAAAACTCAAAATAGAACTACCATATGACCCAGTAATCCCAGTACTGGGCATATACCCTGAGAAAACCATAATTCAAAAAGAGTCATGTACCAACATGTTCATTTCAGCTCTATTTACAATAGCCAGGACATGGAAGCAACCGAAGTGTCCATCAACAGATGAATGGATAAAGAAGATGTGGCACATAGATACAATGGAATATTACTCAGCCATAAAAAGAAACGAAATTGAGTTATTTGTAGTGAGGTGGATGGACCTAGAGTGTGTCATACAGAGTGAAGTAAGTCAGAAAGAGAAAGACAAATACCGTATGCTAACACATATATATGGAACGTAAGAAAAAAAAAATGTAATGAAGAACCTAGGGGTAAGACGGGAAAAAAGACACAGACCTACTAGAGAATGGACGTGAGGATATGAGGAGGGGGAAGGGTAAGCTGTGACAAAGGTAGAGAGTGGCATGGACATATATACACTACCAAACGTAAAATAGACATCTAGTGGGAAGCAGCCGCATAGCACAGGGAGATCAGCTTGGTGCTTTGTGACCACCTAGAGGGGTGGGATAGGGAGGGTGGAGGGAGGGAGACGCAAGAGGGAAGAGATATGGGAACATATGTATATGTATAACTGATTCACTTTATTATAAAGCAGAAACTAGCACACCATTGTAAAGCAATTATACTCCAATAAAGATGTTAAAAAAAATAATCTTCCAACAAACAAAAGCCCTGGACTAGATGCCTTCACCGGCAAATTCTATCAAACATTAAGAGAAGAGCTAACACCTATCCTTCTCAAACTCTTCCAAAATATAGCAGAGGGAGGATCACTCCCAAACTCATTCTATGAGGCCACCATCACCCTGATACCAAAACCAGACAAAGATGTCACAAAGAAAGAAAACTACAGGCCAATATCAGTGATGAACATAGATGCAAAAATCCTCAACAAAATACTAGCAAACAGAATCCAACAGCATATTAAAAGGATCAAACACTATGATCAAGTGGGGTTTATCCCAGGAATGCAAGGATTCTTCAATATACGCAAATCAATCAATGTGATACATCATATTAACAAATTGAAGGAGAAAAACCATATGATCATCTCAATAGATGCAGAGAAAGCTTCTGACAAAATTCAACACCCATTTATGGTAAAAACCCTCCAGAAAGTAGGCATACAGGGAACTTTCCTCAATATAATACAGGCCATATATGACAAACCCACAGCCAACATCATCCTCAATGGTGAAAAACTGAAACTGTTTCCACTAAGATCAGGAACAAGACAAGGTTGCCCACTCTCACCACTATTATTCAACATAGTTTTGGAAGTTTTAACCACAGCAATCAGAGAAGAAAAAGAAATAAAAGGAATCCAAATCGGAAAAGAAGAAGTAAAGCTGTCACTGTCTGCAGATTACATGATGCTATACATAGAGAATCCTAAAGATGCTACCAGAAAACTACTAGAGCTAATCAATGAATTTGGTAAAGTAGCAGGATACAAAATTAATGCACAGAAATCTCTAGCACTCCTATACACTAATGATGAAAAAATCTGAAAGTGAAATTAAGGAAAGACTTCCTTTTACCATTGCAACGAAAAGAATAAAATATCTAGGAATAAAGCTACCTAAGGAGACAAAAGACCTGTATGCAGAAAATTACAAGACACTGATGAAAGATATTAAAGATTATACAAATAATTGGAGAGATATACCATGTTCTTGGATTGAAAGAATCAACAGTGTGAAAATGACTCCACTACCCAAAGCAATCTACAGATTCAATGCAATCCCTGTCAAACTACCTCTGGCATTCTTCACAAAACTAGAACAAAAAATTTCACAATTTGTATGGAAACACAAAAGACACCAAATAGCTAAAGCAGTCTTGAGAAAGAAGAACGGAGCTGGAGGTATCAGGCTCCCTGACTTCAGACAATACTACAAAGCTACAGTAATCAAGACAGTATGGTACTGGCACAAAAACAGAAATATAGATCAATTGAACAGGATGGAAAGCCCAGAGATAAACCCACGCACATATGGTCACCTTATCTTTGATAAAGGAGGCAAGAATATACAGTGGAGAAAAGACAGCCTCTTCAATAGGTGGTGCTGGGAAAACTGGACAGCTACATGCAAAAGAATGAAATTAGAGTACTCCCTAACACCATACACAAAAATAAACTCAAAATGGATTAAAGACCTAAATGAAATGCCAGACACTATCAAACTCTTAGAGGAAAACATAGGCAAAACACTCCATGACATAAATCACAGCAAGATCCTTTTTGACCCACCTCCTAGACAAATGGAAATAAAAACAAAAATAAACAAATGGGACCTAGTGAAACTTCAAAGCTTTTGCACAGCAAAGGAAACCATAAACAAGATGAAAAGACAACTCTCAGAATGGGAGAAACAATTTGCAAATGAAGCAACTGACAAAGGATTAATCTCCAAAATTTACCAGCAGCTCATGCAGCTCAATATCAAAAAAACAAACAACCCAATCCAAAAATGGGCAGAAGACCTAAACAGACATTTCACCAAAGAAGATATACAGATTGCCAAGAAACACATGAAAGAATGTTCAACATCATTAATCATTAAAGAAATGCAAATCAAAACTACAGTGAGATATCATCTCACACTGGTCAGAAGGCCATCATCAAAAAATCTACAAACAATAAACGCTGGAGAGGGTGTGGAGGAAAGGGAACACTCTTGCACTGTTGGTGGGAATGTAAATTGGTTCAGCCACTATGGAGAACAGTATGGAGGTTCCTTCAAAAACTCAAAATAGAACTACCATATGACCCAGTAATCCCAGTACTGGGCATATACCCTGAGAAAACCATAATTCAAAAAGAGTCATGTACCAACATGTTCATTTCAGCTCTATTTACAATAGCCAGGACATGGAAGCAACTGAAGTGTCCATCAACAGATGAATGGATAAAGAAGATGTGGCACATAGATACAATGGAATATCACTCAGCCATAAAAAGAAACGAAATTGAGTTATTTGTAGTGAGGTGGATGGACCTAGAGTGTGTCATACAGAGTGAAGTAAGTAAAAAGAGAAAGACAAATACCGTATGCTAACACATATATATGGAATCTAATAAAAAAAAATGTAATGAAGAACCTAGGGGTAAGACGGGAATAAAGACACAGACCTACTAGAGAATGGACTTGAGGATATGGGGAGGGGGAAGGGTAAGCGGTGACAAAGGTAGAGAGTGGCATGGACATATATACACTACCAAACGTAAAATAGACATCTAGTGGGAAGCAGCTGCATAGCACAGGGAGATCAGCTCGGTGGTCTGTGACCACCTAGAGGGGTGGGATAGGGAGGGTGGGAGGGAGGGACACGCGAGGGGTAAGGGATATGGGAACATATGTGTGTGTGTGACTGATTCACTTTATTATGAAGCAGAAACTAGCACACCATTGTAAAGCAATTATACTCCAATTAAGATGTAAAAAAAAAAAAAAACGAAAAAAAACGTAGCCAGTCCCAATTAGTACATATTGTGTGATCCGATTTATATGAAATGCTTGAAACAAAAATCTCCAGAGACAGTAAATAGGTTAATGGCTACATAGGGCTGGGTGGGTCAGGAAGCCAGTTGGGTGGGGAGTGACTGATAGTGGGTATAGAGTTTCTTTTTAGGATAATGAAAGTGTTCAAAATTGCTTATGGTGATGGTTGTACAACTCGATATACAAAACTCATTAAATTACATACTTTAAATGAGTGAATTATATAGTGTGTGAATTATATCTCAATAAAGTTATTTTTTAAAAGGAGGGTGATCTGTACGCAAACTTAAGGATAACAGTAATGCCACTCATTTGGGTAATACTTAATATTTTCCAAGTGCTTTTTGATCCATATGGCACCCCTAAGATACATGCAGTATGAATGTTCTAATTTACAATTTAAAGATAAATAATTTGAGGCATATTGATTTCCCCAAGCATACATTTGCATATATTCTCTACCAGTGAAAGTCAATTTCTGGGGTGAGTGAAAAACATCTTAGATATTCCAACTGTTGTGACTTTCCAAATGGCCACTGTACATAAACAGGTATATAGTATAACTATGATATCAAATTTTATGTGATTAGGAAGCAATGTCTTAAAAGGCTCCTGGGGCGGGTGGGGGCGAGTGGAGACAATGAAAAAAAAGTTGAGAAACACTGCCTTAGTGGTACAGCAAAGAAAATAAGTCAGATCTTCTAAGCATCCCAGGCCTGTGTTACTTCCATTAACGTGTGTGTGTGTGCGCGAGCGCACGCGTGCACGTGCGTGTTCTAGATCTCAGGGGTTTTAATGCAAAGGTGATCATATTTTCTAGGACAGTAACAATTTCACATGATTTTATTTTTCCTCATATTGATTAAACATACAACTACGGGGACTTCCCTGGTGGCGCAGGCTCAGCGACCATGGCTCACGGGCCCAGCCGCTCCGCGGCATGCGGGATCTTCCCGGACCAGGGAGCGAACCCGTGTCCCCTGCATTGGCAGGCGGATTCTTAACCACTGCTCCACCAGGGAAGTCCCCAGACCTTAAATTTTTAATAGCAATGAGGAGAAAGGCGATACACGATTTAAGCTTTGTTTTCCATTTCTTTTGCCTGGAAGTACTTTACCCTAGATTTCTGCCTGGCTTGCTTCTGCATACCATTAATATCTTTAGTCAAATGTATGGCAAAACCTTCCCTGACTACTCTGTCTGAAATAGTCCCCCCTCTGTCATTACCTTCTTTCTTTTCCTTATATCCTTCATAGCACATGAAGAAAGTAAAATTAAAATATGATATAAATATATATCCATATAAAAGAGATAATGGAAAATACTACAGCAATTAACATAAACAGGTTGAAATTATGAGTGAAAAAAATATACATGGTACTTCCCAATTTGTCTACAATGTTAACATAATTTTGTTTTCAAAATAAAGTTATCATTAAATAAAATATTATGTTAATAGAAATTTCAAAACAGGTGTAATAAGAGAATGAAGGGGGAGTTCAGTTAATTTCTCCCACCTCTACAGTGCCCAGGCTGAGATCTCATGAGGTGCAGAACTTTGAGATACATAGATATGGAGGCCACGTCCTGCTCAAGGCTGGCTGGCCTCTGGCCTTACCTCATGGCACACAGCTCCAATCTGGCCTTCATCCATGTGGGTTCCCAAGTATTCCATGTCAAAGAACCTCCAGCCAAGTATTCCATTACGACTCATAGCCCATCTCCCACAAGGTAACTGTAGGAGTAAAGATAACGGGTGAGAAGGAATAGAGTACCCTGGGCCATAGCAGTGGTTTTCAAAGGACAAGAATACACACAGAGTGACTCTGCATTTCCCTCAGCTCTGGAAGAATCTAGGGCTCTTTTTTATAAGCAAAAGCAAAATCTGGGGGACAGGATTACTAACTTGACACCTCTTAAGTACTCACCAGGAGAAAACAAAGTAGACTCTTCTGTGAAGCCCCAAAGGGCAGAACTAAAATCGAGAGGTTGAAGATATAATAAAATTTTATTTCATCACAACACAAAGTAGTAATGCCTAAAATTAGGCATGACTCCCAAACCTCTAAAAGCATGAAAGCAGAGAGCACCCAAACATTTGACAAAGTTGGGATTTGGAGTCCATGTTACCAATATTAGGGAAAATCACTAAACCTCCTTGAGTTCTATTAGATTTGAGATCCATGAGACCCGCACTGGGTCTTGTTCAAAACTCCATACCCAGAGAGTCCAGCACAATAGATGTCAGTATTTGCTGAATAAATCAAATAAAAGATAATTGTAGGGCTTCCCTGGTGGCGCAGTGGTTGAGAGTCCGCCTGCCAATGCAGGGGACGCGGGTTCGTGTCCCGGTCCAGGAGGATCCCACATGCCACGGAGCGGCTAGGCCTGTGAGCCGTGGCTACTGAGCCTGCGCGTCCGGAGCCTGTACTCCACAACGGGAGAGGCCACAACAGTGAGAGGCCCTCATACCGCAAAAAACAAAAACAAAAACAAAAACAAACAAACAAAAAAAAGATAATTGTAAATACTAAGTGAAATAAGCATCATAAAAGCCACTGAAAAGCTGTAGAGTTTTATACACACGTCATCATGCTGACAATGATATCCATTTTGAATGTCTCTGATTCTAGAAATGGAATGAATTCAGTAAGGGCTGCAGAACCAAAGCCTCATCTGGAAGCCAAGGGCTGCCGATTAAGTACTGTCGGAGAGATTATGGGGCTGACACGAGTTAGAACTGATAGCTTCACTCAGAGATTGGATCACTCAGCCCTACTATGTGATAAATAAAAAGGTCACTTGGCCTGTCTGGTCAGTTTCCTCAGCAGTAGAATAAGACAAATAACAACAAAGATAGTCCAGAGCTCTACAGACTCTTGTGCTCGCTTTAGACAAAGAAGCTAGACTGGACTGACTTAAGCTGTGTGGTGTGTCATCTTATCTCCATCCAGATACTGGGACTATTGCTGGGCAGACAGGGAGACTACTGGAAAAAACACATGGTCTCAACCAAAGGGTAAGATTTGAGCCCTAGTCTCTTGACTATGATTCAATCCAGTCCTCTTTCCATAATGTTCTTCATTCTTTATACTTGAAAGTCATGTAGTTTTTTAATGTCCATGAAGAATAAATATGACAGATTGCTTTTCTCTTCAACAATCACTTCTGAGAGAGAAGACTATGGGAACGTGGACCAAAAGAGAATCAGGACTGGGTAAAAAGCCTTCCACTTGCCAGGAGCCTATTTCCTCACTGACAAAGAATACACATTTATGGCCTGTCACCCAGCACATGGAGAAGACAGCTTCAGCTTGGACTGACTGGGGGAAAATATGAGGGTCCAAAAGACTATCTCTAGACGCTGACAAAGCTGATTCTCTTTCCTGGGTCCGACATGCCCCTGTCAAAACTAATACAATGCAAGACCAGATTCAGGTTGTCTCAAACACTTCGTGACTACACACTGTGCCAAGGTAACTTCTAAAATCACATCTCAGGGAATTCCCTGGTTGTCCAGTGGTAGGGACTCTGCACTCTCACTGCTGAGAGCCCGGATTTGATCCCTGGTCGAGGAACTAACATCCCACAAGCCGAGCAGCATTGCAAAAAAAAAGAGAACAAAAAAGCAGATAGCCTTTTCATTGTACGATTAAAATCACATCTCAAGGTAAAACCTCAGAGCATCACATATTTTGAGAAGAAGTAATATGAATGGAGCTCTCTTCTGGGAACTCACAAAAGCCACAGACTCTCAAATGCAGTACCTTCACTGAGTGCTCAGATTAAGAGCACCCACTTTGTCCTCCCGCAGGAGCCCCCCGGTATTCTTTTCTATGCCAGACTAGGAGCTATCTGATGGCAGGGACTGAGCCTTATACTTCTGATTCCACAGTAAAAGCCTCTGGAGACACCAGAAAAGGCACGATCAATAAACAATTTATAAATCTTCTAATCCCTTCCTAGAACACAAATTCCTTCAACAACATTGTCATGTATTTACTGTTTAGATAACTCCAATGAGGGGAAACTCCCTGTTTTATGAGACAGGCCATAACTCTATTGGACAGCATTCATTTTTGCTTATCCTGAGACAAAATCTGGTACCTTATAACTTTTAGTACTTTCTCCACACACTATTCTCTGTTTGAGTTCATAAAAGAGATGAGAAGATGGAAAGTAACTTTCAGAGGCTTTTTCAGAGCCAGTCATGACCCACATTGTGGAGAGACAATCATCCCCCAAAAGGATAAGGCTCTATTTTCTACAGTTATCAACATCGTGTGTTGGAAAGATCAAAGTCCTCTTAAAACAAAACAGAAACTTACCAATGTTTTAGATGCAGAACAAGAATCTGGCAGAATCTCGCAGAAATGAAATCTAGCAGGCAATGCAATATAAACAGTAAAGGAATTAGAATCCAAGACTTGGTCCAATATCACCTGCACCTGTGATATCTCTGAGCTGGGCAAGAAGCTCACTTTCTTTTTTACATTTGAAAAATGGAAAGGGAATGGATGTTGATGTAGGAATATTCAAATCCAAAACCCTCTTTTGCTACTTACTCTGGCTTCCTGATCTTGGACAAGTTATTAACTTCTATGAACTTCAGTTTCTTCATCTGTAAAATATAGATAATAAACCCTGCCTCACAATGAGATACTACTGTTCAGGAAAGTGTTTAGTACAAAGTAAAGCATGACACAAACGTTAGCTACAGCCCTTATTATTATGCTGAAGAACAGAAGTCTTATGGACTGGAACAATGGAGTGGAATATTCAAAATGGGGTTTAATGAAGATAATTTAAAAGTTCTATGTTACCAGCTTAAGGCAATCTCATGTTTAAGAAAAGGGTCAGGGCTTCCCTGGTGGTGCAGTGGTTGAGAGTCCGCCTGCCGATGCAGGGGACATGGGTTCGTGCCCCGGTCCGGGAAGATCCCACATGCCGCGGAGCGGCTAGGCCCGTGAGCCATGGCCGCTGAGCCTGTGCGTCCGGAGCTTGTGCTCCGCAACGGGAGAGGCCACAACAGTGAGAGGCCCACGTACCGCCAAAAAAAAAAAAAAAAAAAAAAAAGAAAAAAAAGAAAAGGGTCAGAGATTTAAATTGGCTACAACTGTACCAGGGGTCAACAATGAAAAAGACCACCTAAAAAAAAAAAAAAACACCACAGAACAATGAATGAAATCATTAGGTTGTGTTGAGTTTCTAACAAAAGCTGAGTCCCACCCACTCCATAATGGTCAAATCTCAAAGGAAACTACTGAGTGTCACATTTTAAGAGAATGCGGACAAACTAGAAGTTATTCAGCAGGGTAAGCAGGATAAGGAAAGATTTGAGATGCAGAATGATTTAAAGACCTATATGTTTGACTCAGGCAGATGGGCTGAAGGCATTCCCTAGGGCAGAACAAACAGTACCAGGACCAGCTGTGAGAAGGTACACGGTGGTAGGGTTCAGCCTAACCCCAGAATACTGTGCAGCAATCAGAGGTGTCCAGCAACATGCAGGGTCAGAGGCAGAGAGCCAAGCATCATAGACTAATCTTAAATGGAGGCAGTTCTGAGCACTGGTGTTGCATTCTCCTCTAACAGCTCCACCATCCATCTGTCCCAAAGGCCCTATTTCTCTGGCAGGACTCCACTCCATAAGTAGTTCACAATATTTGGGCTCTTGCTTTCCCTTATGACCAGGATCTCATTAATAATCAGGTCTCTCTTCAGCTGCTGCTGAAGGTTCATCTGCTTAATGGCCACCTGAAATCAGAATACATTCAATGTACAGAGTGACTCGGTATGTACTAAGCACCTACTAAGTACCAGACCATAAACACTTAGGAGACAGAGATGAATAAGATATGGTCTTAGCCCTTGAGGAACTCACAGTTTATTATCGGAAACCAGTGGTACTCAATGTGAGGTCGCCAGACCAGCAACATCAACATCATCTGGGAATGAGCTAGAAATGAACATTTTCAGGCCCCACCCAGACCTGAACCAGAAACTCTGTGATTTAATAAGCTCTCCAGGAAATTCTCATGTGCACCAAAGCTTGAGGATTAAACTTTGTACTAAATAAAATACTTATATTAGAAAAATACTTTTAAAAATCACAATATAAAAGAGGCTAACTACAGCAAGAGTCCAAAAGGAATCCAAACTGGAAAAGAAGAAGTTAAACTGTCACTATTTATAGATGACAGGATACTATAAATAGAAAATCCTAAAGATGCTACCAGAAAACTACTAGAGCTCATCAATGAATTTGGTAAAGTTTCAGGATACAAAATTAATACACAGAAATCTTGCATTTCTATAAACTAGCAATGAAAGATCAGAAAGAGAAATTAAAGAAACAGTCCCATTTACCATCACATCAAAAAACTAAAATACCTAGGTATAAACCTACATAAGGGACAAAAGACCTGTACTCCAAAAACTATAAGATGCTGATGAAAGAAACTGAAGACAACACAAACAGATGGAAAGACATACTGTGTTCTTGGATTGGAAGAATCAATATTGTCAAAATGACTATACTACCCAAGGCAATCTACAGATTCAGTAATCCCTATCAAATTACCAATGGCATTTTTCACAGAACTAGAACAAAAAATCTTAAAATTTGTATGGAGACACAAAAGACACCAAATAGCCAAATCAAACTTGAGAAAGAAAAACGGAGCTAGAGGAATCAGTCTTCCTGACTTCAGACTATACTACAAAGCTATAGTA